AATAATCAGGGAGAGTGACGCTGTATTTATAACAAAACGGTGGCTAGAAGGGACTGTAGAAAAACTACATAGACCAAATTCCTCATCTTACACCTGAACAACAAAGTAGCAATCCCCATCTAACTTACAGATGAATAGGGCTGGAATCTCAGCCTCCTGAATCCTAGTGCACTTGTCCAGTGATTCACCTTCTTTGATTTCTGGAACTAGAATAAAATTACACCTTTGGTAGAAATTCTGTCTGATTTCACCATATCATATAATGCATTCTATTTAAAATGCCCATCCTTCTCAGTGAATGCTTTTCTACATATACACCGGAGTGTTTTCACTATTTATTCAAACTTAGAACACTTGAAAAATTATAGCTATTATATCACACCCTACCACAAAAGCTACCTTAATATTCTGAAGTATATGAAGGGGAATGGCTAAAGGAGAAACTGGCAGGTTCCTTGGCAATTTTTTATAGACTCTGGGGTCTTCCCTCATGTTCTCTTCCCTTTTTGTCATCTCCTATATCCTCTCCTCTGGAATAATATAAACCCTTGACCTTTCTTCAAGATGCCAGTTTTTGCTATGTCTCCAAAGATATCTTTCCTTTAAGTGCTGAACATATAAAAGTGACACCATTTTGGGCTTCCCTGGTGGCGCAGTGGTTGACAGTCCGCCCGCCGATGCAGCGGACACGGGTTCGTGGCCCGGTCCGGGAGGATCCCACGTGCTGCGGAGCGGATGGCCCCGTGGGCCATGGCCGCTGAGCCTGCGCATCCGGAGCCTGTGCTCCGCAACGGGAGAGGCCATAGCAGTGAGAGGCCCGCGTACCTCAAAAAAAAAAAAAAAAGAAAGAAAAAAAGAAAACAAAAAAGCAAAACAAAACAAAACAAAAACACCTATCAGTATCCACCGTATGGCAGACACTTTGCTAGGTACTAGGGTCTTGGAGGTCAGCAAGACGAAATCTCTGCCTTCCTCACTCTGAGTCTAGTAGAGGAGACAAAAATATAATGAAAAACAAGCAAAGGAAAGAAACAATGAGACAGCCTCTTCAATAAGTGGAGCTGGGAAAACTGGACAGCTACATGTAAAAGAATGAAATGAGAACACTCCCTAACACCATACACAAAAGTAAACTCAAAAAGGATTAAAGACCTAAATGTAAGGCCAGACACTATCACACTCTTAGAAGAAAACAGGAAGAACACTCTGACATAAATCAAGCAAGATCCTTTCCTTTCTGACCCAGCTCCTAGAGAAATGGAAAAAAACCCCAAAATAAACAGATGGGACCTAATGAAACTTACAAGCTTTTGCACAGCAAAGGAAACCATAAACAAGATGAAAAGACAACCCTCAGAATGGGAGAAAATGTTTGCAAATGAAGCAACTGACAGAGGATTAATCTCCAAAGTTTATAAGCAGCTCATGCAGCTCAATACCAAAAAAATAAACAACCCAATCCAGAAATGGGCAGAAGACCTAAAGAGACATTTCTCCAAAGAAGATATACAGATTGCCAACAAACACATGACAGGATGCTCAACATCGTTAATCATTAGAGAAATGCAAATCAAAACTCCAATGAGATATCATCTCACACCGGTCAGAATGGCCATGGTCAAAAAATCTACAAACAATAAATGCTGGAGAGGGTGTGGAGAAAAGGGAACCCTCTTGCAGTGTTGGTGGGAATGTAAACTGATACAGCCACTATGGAGGAAGAGGCCACAACAGTGAGAGGCCCGCGTACCTAAAAAAAAAAAAAAAAAGAAAGAAAAAAAGAAAACAAAAAAGCAAAACAAAACAAAACAAAAACACCTATCAGTATCCACCGTATGGCAGACACTTTGCTAGGTACTAGGGTCTTGGAGGTCAGCAAGACGAAATCTCTGCCTTCCTCACTCTGAGTCTAGTAGAGGAGACAAAAATATAATGAAAAACAAGCAAAGGAAAGAAACAATGAGACAGCCTCTTCAATAAGTGGAGCTGGGAAAACTGGACAGCTACATGTAAAAGAATGAAATGAGAACACTCCCTAACACCATACACAAAAGTAAACTCAAAAAGGATTAAAGACCTAAATGTAAGGCCAGACACTATCACACTCTTAGAAGAAAACAGGAAGAACACTCTGACATAAATCAAGCAAGATCCTTTCCTTTCTGACCCAGCTCCTAGAGAAATGGAAAAAAACCCCAAAATAAACAGATGGGACCTAATGAAACTTACAAGCTTTTGCACAGCAAAGGAAACCATAAACAAGATGAAAAGACAACCCTCAGAATGGGAGAAAATGTTTGCAAATGAAGCAACTGACAGAGGATTAATCTCCAAAGTTTATAAGCAGCTCATGCAGCTCAATACCAAAAAAATAAACAACCCAATCCAGAAATGGGCAGAAGACCTAAAGAGACATTTCTCCAAAGAAGATATACAGATTGCCAACAAACACATGACAGGATGCTCAACATCGTTAATCATTAGAGAAATGCAAATCAAAACTCCAATGAGATATCATCTCACACCGGTCAGAATGGCCATGGTCAAAAAATCTACAAACAATAAATGCTGGAGAGGGTGTGGAGAAAAGGGAACCCTCTTGCAGTGTTGGTGGGAATGTAAACTGATACAGCCACTATGGAGAACAGTATGGAGGTTCCTTAAAAAACTAAAAATAGAACTACCATACGACCCAGCAATCCCACTCCTGGCCATATATCCTGAGAAAACCATAATTCAAAAAGAGTCATGTACCACAATGTTCATTGCAGCTCTATTCACAATAGCCAGGACATGGAAGCCACTTAAGTGTCCATCATCGGATGAATGGATAAAGAAGATGTGGCACATACATACGATGGGATATTACTCAACCATAAAAAGAAATGCAATTGAGTTATTTGTAGTGAGGTGGATGGACCTAGAGTCTGTCATAGAGAGTGAAGTAAGTCAGAAAGAGCAAAACAAATACCGTATGCTAACATATATATGGAATCTTAAAAAAAAATGGTTCTGAAGAACCTAGGGGCAGGACAGGAATAAAGACGCAGATGTAGAGAATGGACTTGAGGACACGGGGAGGGGGAAGGGTAAGCTGGGATGAAGTGAAAGAGTGGCATGGACATATATACACTACCAAACGTAAAACAGATAGCTAGTGGGAAGCAACCGCATAGCACAGGGAGATCAACTCGGTGCTTTGTGACCACCTAGAGGGGTGGGATAGGGAGGGTGGGAGGGAGGGAGACGCACGAGGGAAGAGATATGGAGATATATGTATAACTGATTCACTTTGTTATAAAGCAGAAAGTAACACACCATTGTAAAGCCATTATACTCCAATAAAGATGTTAAAAAAAAGAAGAAACAATTGATCGCTGTTGGAGAATGCTAATGAGCAAGTTGTTATTCTGAAGACTGGTAAGGTAGAAACATTTACCGCAACTGTCCTAGACGAACTATATCCTGGGTACCCGAATTGTGGATGAGTATACATTTTCTTTTCATAGAAGTGCTCCAGCTAATAAATGAAGAAGAAATGATAGAAACAGGCAATCATCACATTGCAACCCCTAGGCACTGATCATTAAGAGCTGCCAAAAATCACACACACACAAGGGAAGACAAGACACTGTGTACCTCCTGGTGATGGAAAAATACATTACTATCTACGAAGCAGTCTGACCAAAAAAAGGCAAACCCGCATACAATCAAACCTGTAGAACTACACTGTTCAAGAGAAGAGCCACTAGCCATATCTGAGCCCTTGAAATGTGGCTAGCCTGAATCGAGTTGTGTTGTAACCACTGTAAATGTAAATTTTTATGTCAATTACATGTTAAAATGACAATAATTATTGTCCTATAGTTACGTTAGGTGCAACCATTAGAGGAAACTGGGTGAAATGTGTAGGGAGACTCTCTGCACTATTTTTGTAACTTACTGTGAATCTGTAATTACTTCAAAATCAAAAGTGAAAAAAAGTGAGGGGGGGGGATTTATAAGACAAATTAGCCCAGCGCAATGTCTGGACCTTATTTCAATTCTTATTTAAACCAGAAAAGCAAAACCCCAAAATCCTGTTAAAACATTTAAGACATGTATATGAGAAATGGAAATTTGAATACTGCCTTGGTATTTGTCATGATAAAATTATTGACATTTAAAAAGTATTACAGGGCTTCCCTGGTGGCGCAGTGGTTAAGAATCCACCTGCCAATTCAGGGGACACGGGTTCGAGCCCTGGTCCGGGAAGATCCCACATGCCGCGGAGCGACTAAGCCTGTGCGCCACAACTACTGAGCCTGTGCTTTAGAGCCCACGAGCTGCAGCTACTGAAGCCCGAGCGCCTAGAGCCCATGCTCCACAACAAGAGAAGCCACCGCAATGAGAAGCCCACGCACCGCAACGAAGAGTACAGTAGCCCCCGCTCGCCGCAACTAGAGAAAGCCCGCGCACAGCAACGAAGACCCAACGCAGCCAAAGCTAAAATAAATAAATTTTTAAAAATGTATTACAGTAACAACGTGTTTACCTTTAAAGAGCAAATTCTTATCTTTTAGAGACACTTTATCAAATATTCATGGATTAAATGATCCGTGCCTGAGATTTGCTTTTAGATAATGGAGGACAAAGTACAGAAGAAGTAAGATTGGCCAGGAATTGATAACTTGGTCTTGATGGGCGCCCAGGTGTTTATTATAGAATTATGTCGCTTTAGCATACGTTTAATATTTTCCAAAATAACATTTTTAAGTATCACCAAAAGACATGGACAAATCGTAAATGATATTATTAATGCAGATGCTTTTGACATTTAAAATATAATGGCTTGGATTATTTCTAATTGACCCTTGGACTAGAGGAGTAGAGGAGTAAAAAAAGATTTCTCTTCCACTTGACTTCTTTTCCTTTTTCAACCTAGTTTCAATCAAAACTAATTTTAAAACAGTCATTGAATGCTTACTATGTGCAAATCACCATGCTTAAAAATATCCTACCCTGTGTACATCATCCTGCTTCTGAACGGCTGGGAAATCGCCTCCAATAGGTGCCTGCCGGCTTAACTCATCATCTTTCAGCTGTAGCCACACCAGAAGTTCCTGAAGAGAAAGGTGCAGACGCTTCCACTGGTCAGAACTGGCTCCCAAATGGGACCTGAAAAATAACAGGAGCAAACTGTCAGAATATCTAGAAAGATAACTGATGGTTCTAACAATCCCACTAAAGGTACATTGGTTGCTTACTTCCACCGTGTGTAAACGTACTGTGGACTACATAGCAGTCCTCAATAAAAATCCAGCTACCTGCTTTTGAGGGCAACAAAATGTGGGTATTTTGATGGCAACATGGAGGGAAGACAGTGCTTAGTTATACGTTTACTTCCACATGCAGAATTCTGAGACTTTTGGCCTGAAGTATACACTGGAACGGAATGCTTTCCTGTAGTGTTGCAATCAATGATTCTTCATGTTTCTGGTAGAAGAACCTGGACCCAGTGACTAAAATAAACCACTCAGTTTTCGTGTGACTCATGCTAGTGCCGGAATTCTTTCTGCTTTGGGAAATGGAAAGGTCTCTCCCCACATTTTGACTTCTCCATTTCTACACCCTAGGCAGCCTCTTCCATTGACTCCTTCCATCTGGCATCTGTTCCTTTTCTGCTCCTCTTCCCACATGCTTCTCTTCCTTCTCTACCCTTCTTTATCCGAGTGCACCTGGGATTTGTTTTCACCAAGTTCCAACATTTTCTGCTTTGTTTCCTTTGTGTAAAATGTACCGAGACAACAACTCACGTGGAAAAGTAAAATCAGACATTTGCCTGAAAGCCTCCCCACAAACGTGAATAATTTAGGCAAGAGGCTGAGTGCTTTACCATCAACTGCATTTAGAACACGTTAATCCATAGAAGGCATTTAAGAATATACGAACGAATGATCTGTGTTATAAAATCCACATTTCACTTGAGGATGAGAAGCTAAATTAAGAAAATAAATCATCATCCAGAAAACCAAGAAACGTGGAACGTTAGCAAAGCTCTATCCTCAGGTAAATCAAGAATTATGCTGCATTACTTACATCTTACCAGCAATTATTAATTAATTCATAAAAATTAATGCTGCCTATAAGTATAATATAGCCTCTAATGCTGCAGAGATTGAAATGTAAAGCAACCAGGTAGAACAACATTTCCCTTTGCCATTTGATACCTTAGCCTGACATTTCAAATACAATTCTCCTGCTGGCCTTAATCAAATAGAATCACCAAATAGTACCTGGGTGCTGAAATTAAACTATTCTAAACTTTCTGAAGGATAATTTGATGATACATAAATGTCTTTAAAATGTGCAAATATAATGAATGACCCACAAGCTTAAATTCAAGGAACTTATACTAAGAAAGTAACTGGGAAAGCATGCAAAGATACAGGTAGAACACTGCTATTTACAGCATACTTATGATTGATACAAAGTTGAAACAATTTAAATATTCAGTACTAGGAAATTGGTTACGTATACAATGGTGAACTCATACAATGCATTGTTCAAATCCTGTGAATCCTACGCAATGTTCAATGTGATGACGTAGGCAAATGTTCATGGACATGGACAAGATCATCCTGTCAGTCACTAAGGGAGAAAGTAGGTTACAAAAACGTACATGATCTATTTTTCCAAAATGTCTGTGTGTGTGCACATGCTGGACTATGCATGAAAAAATTCTGAAATGACAACTAGTTTATCCCTCAAAGGTGGATTTACAGGTGATTTATTCCTTCATCTTTATACTTTTCCAAATTGTCAGAATTCTCTATTGTGAGCCATATAAACATTACATTCAGAAACACCGAAGGTATTTCCATCAAGGAAATTAAATTGTTCAAGACTCTAAGGACATTTTTATCTAAGAAATGAATCATGAAGTACCATAAATATCATGAATTAAATATAATAGTGTAGACTGCATATGGTGTAGAGGTCAGTTCTTTTATGTTTCTGTTCTCTCCTCCTATTTCACTTTTCCAGGATAAGCCTAAGTGAGAACTCCCTATGCAAGATTTTAGCTGTTTAATGACATGTAATAACTACTGGTTACGGGGATTCCCTTGGGTATCTGGAATTTGCAGCTTGGTCCCCTTGAGGGTGAAAGAGGCTGTCAAGCAGGACATTTTGAAAGGCAGAGAGAGGCACAGTACAGCCATGGAAAGGCAGCACACTGTAGATGAGCCACTGATTAAATAAATATTTACTGAATCCCTCTCAGTCCCAATCAGGC